TATAAACAATGAAAAAGTCCTGAAGAAGACAGAATTTAAAATGAGATGCATCGCTGCGCAGCTGCTCCAATACATTTTGTCTGTGTGTGTTTGTGTGTGCCGGAGAGGGAGAAAGTCATGGTCATTCAACGTGCCATGTGGCCTTTCAGACGAAGGTCAAAGGTCACCATCTGGAATGTGGAGCACACCCACCCCAAATTATTCCTCCACTCTTCCCAATTCTCTTCACTGTGATGGCAATGTCTTTGTCCCTGTGTGTTCTTCTGTGTTAGGATGAGTCGGTGTGTGCCAGGACTTTCTGCGGTGCAGGTAGAGAGTGTGTATCGACTGACCGAGGAGAACCAGTCTGTCGCTGTTTACAGGTAAAGGTACTGATAACTAGCAAACATGTGTACTTGTAAATGTGTACGTCTGTATTAGTTTAGGGAAAGACTGCAGGTAATATTTCTGCAGCTACCATTTTTTGGTAATCTTCTATTGACGAGCCTGTTTCCTTTGCAGCAGTGTGACATGTCAGAGCACTGGGTGTGTGGCAGCAACGGAAAATCCTACAGGAATCACTGTGAACTGCACAGAGACGCCTGCATCACCCAGACCAAGATACACGTGGAGCACAGAGGACACTGTCTGGGTCAGTTTCCACAAACACAAACTCTTTAAGCTTTGAGTGAAGCTTGTGCAGTCATGAAGGATTTGTGTGTGTTTCTATTTGCAGAGAAACCAACAAAGGCCGATGTGAGCCCCAGTAAGTCACGAAATATTTCACATTTTTACACAATTCAGCAAATTTGAGTGGCTGTCTAAAGCCGGTCTCTTTTTCACGCTTCACGCTTGCAGTCGTGTGTTTCCTATCTGATCGTGACTGGATGAGAGAGAGAGTGATCCAGTGGATTCAGAAAGAAGCTGAAGATCTGGCCTCAAACACATCAGCCGGTGACATCCTTCAGACATATTTTCAGGTGTGAATACTTCATACACTGTATAATAATTACAAATGTATAACTAAACAAGGTAAAAGATTTTGATGGTGTTTTTGTGTCACAGGCGTATGATGATGGGGATTCACAGCTTGATTCGAATGAATTTCTGCGATTCCTGAAGCACAATGAGACGGCACTCAACATCACATACTCAGACACTCTGCAGACTAACCTGCTGCTGAGGTATTCGTTTTTTCATCGCTGAGAGTTTGTTCTTCTAATTGTTTCGCGTTTTGTTTTGTTGTTTGTATATTGCAGCACACATTTTGCACATCATTTTAGAAATTAAATGGCTGTTAAAACTCCATATCCAGACTTCTCCAGTCATTTACTCTTACATTTACCTCTTACTTCTTTCTTTTTCTTAGATCTCTGTGTGTCGATGCTTTGATAGAGCTGTCGGATGAAAATGCTGACTGGAAGCTGAGTTTGACTGAGTTTATCAACTGTCTTACGCCCACCTACCACCCAACTGAGAGAAGTAAACATGCATACACAAAAGCAGCAAAATAAGAGTATGAAACTGAACAAACACTTTTTGTGTTTGTGTGATTGACATTTTTCTAAGATTTCTATTTGCTTTTCTCCATTGTATTCAGCTTTGGATTTATCCTAACACTGTTTATCATTTGAAGACTATTATTTACTGGACTTTACAATCAAGAACAAAGAGTTTACTACTTGGGGATGTATGTATAAACAAACAAAAAAGGAACATATAATTACACAAACACATACTTAGTGGCAAAGTATGTTTTACTCAATGTATGATCTACATCAGGAGTGTCGAACACAAGACTCACGGGTTAGAATCAGCCAAGCAAAGTTTTGGATAATGTGAAGAAGAGCACATATTTTGGACTATTTTAATGTATTTTCACACATTTTACAGCATCTGTTCCTTTTACATGAATTTTTATTAAAAACTGAAAACTGAAACTTTTTATATTTTTAAGGACAAGAAAGTTAGCTTTTCTTGTGTTTATTACATTGTGTTTTATGTGTGTAGAGTGTGCTCTGGAAGACGAGGTCTTTGAGGATGGAGCTGAAACTCAGATGGAGTGCAACAAGTGTGTGTGCGCCTGTGGAAACTGGGTGTGCACCGCTCTGACCTGCAATGGTGCGAGTTCGCTTAAAAACAGTAGTCGTATTGTATGACTGCTGCATTTGTTCTGTTTCTGCCCGCTGCTGTGTTTATCTTTGCAACATGTGTTTCAGGAGAGCATCAGGTTGATGAAGATACTGATGAAGGAGGAGAAGATGAAGAAATGACCGAAGAAGAGTGGAGCAGGAGGGTGGCTGAACTCAATGCTTTACAGGTCGACAGTCTCTCCTGAAACAATGTTATTAACCTTTAAATTGTTATTCACAGAGACGTTTAATCTCAACATAAAAGTTACTCAAATTTAGACCAGAGTGGCAAAAATACATTTATTTCTTCTGAATAAATAAATGCATTAAACTGCAGAGTAAGGGAGTTTAACAGAAAGGCACAACCAGAAAGAGTTCCACTTCCAGGTTTTCAATAATTGTTGATTGAATATTTTTTATTAATTAAAACTATTAACTTAAATAAGTCATTTAAATGTACAACTACAAAATTCTTCTGTAGCAATGTGATGCACACATGATTGGTATAAGTTTAAACACTACCTACAGGTCAATGAACGTCTCTTTTACCTGTTTCAGGCATCTGTCACCATGGAGAACTGAGGTCGCAACAGCCAGTCAGCAGCTGAGTGGCCTTCCGTTCCAAACATGAGGAACAGGTTTCGTTTAAATAGCTGTTGTTATTATTCTTATAAATGATTCAACACATTTTATTTATGTGAACTGTTAAATCACTTCTAAACATTATTCTACCTCTTATTTTACTTCCTGAATTTAATGCACTGAAGTTGGTTGCTAATTCACAACCATCCATCCATCCATCCATTTTCATCCGCTTTGTCCGGGGCCGGGTCGCGGGGGCAGCAGCCTAAGCAAAGAGGCCCAGACCTCCCTCTCCCCAGCCACCTCCTCCAGCTTATCCGGGGGAATACCAAGGCGTTCCCAGGCCA